ATCTTTTAGTTGTATTTTTGAAGTGGTTGTTCAAGGCAGCAAACTCCGGTGTTTACCTATGCCGCCATCTTGGTTTCTCGGATAAAAAGAAACATTGATGAGAAAGGAACATCATTGATTGGCTCCCTCTTGCATGCCCGCTTCTGGGGATCGAGTCTGCAACCCGGGCTTGTGCCCTGACCAGGAATCAAACTAGTCATCTCTTGGTTCATGGGTCGGGGATGCTCAACCACTGAGCTACAACACCTGGGCAATCTTTTTTTTTCAAAAATATATTTTTATTGATTTCAGAGAGGGAGGGAGATGGAGAGAAATAGAAACATCAATGATGGAATCATTGATCGGCTGCCTCCTGCCCGCCCCCTACTAGGGATCGAGCCTGCAACCTGGGCATGTGCCCATGACCGGAATCGAACCTGGGACCCTTTAGCCCGCAGGCCGATGCTCTATCCACTGACCCAAACCAGCTAGGGCTCTCTTTGTATAGGTTTAAATTTTCCCATAATTTTTTGAAAAAATTAGTTTACTATCACTTATTGACCTTTAGACTAAAATCAAGTGTAAAAATTAAATTGCTATAGTTTGCTTAAAACATTAGTTGACTATAGTCAATCCACATTGAGGGGTTTGGGGATGTGTAAGAGTATAGCTGAAGTGAGGGCAGCCTGGAATTGATCATTGTTACTTAGAAGTGTTCATTACTCTCTATTTTTATGTATGTTTGAAATTCTCTGTAAAAGAGACTACAAAAAACAGACAAATTTGAATGAAGAGTGTTGAATGCTACCTCAGTGTAGTTTCTTGGCTAGTGCAGTGTTCGGCAAACTCATTAGTCAACAGAGCCAAATATCAACAGTACAATGATTGAAATTTCTTTTGAGAGCCACATTTTTAAAACTTAAACTATACAGGTAGGTACATTGTTATTAACTTAATTAGGGTCCTCCTAAGGCTTAGGAAGAGCCACACTCAAGGGGCCAAAGAGCCGCATGTGGCTCACAAGCCGCAGTTTGCCAACCACGGGGCTAGTGTTTTGACCTCTAAGTTGTTAAAATTCATCTAATAGAGAACCTGGGTTGCTCAATTTAGAAAAAACTTCTTTCCCAAGAAAAGTGTAGGATGTTGTTTTCAAGTTATAAAAATATACTATATAATAAAAGGGTACTATGCAAATCGACGGAACAGTGGAACAACTGCTTGCTATGACATGCACTGACCACCAGGGGACAGACGCTCAATGCAGGAGCTGCCCCCTGGTGGTCAGTGCGCTCCCACAGGGAGAGCGCTGCTCAGCCACAACCTGGGCTGACTGAGGGTTTGCAGCTGGCAAGCACAGTGTGGTGGAGCTTCTCCCACCTCCAGGGCAGCGCTAAGGATGTCCCACTGCAGCTTAGGCCCGCCCCTCTCCCCTCCACCCCCCCTTCTCGTCACTCGGACATTCCCTAAGGGCTCCTGGACTGCGAGCAGGCTGTGCTGAGGGTCCCCGCCACACGAATGTCATGCACCGCCCTCTAGTAAAAAATAAACTCCCTGGCAGTAGGGACCTAATCCAATTTATTTATCTTGATATTAGAAGATAATAGGTATCTGTTTAGTTAACCAATCATTATATGTTTTTATTGATATTTTTAGAGAGAGAGAAGGGGAGAGGAAGAGAAACATTGTTTCATTGCCTCCGTAGCACCCCAACTGAACCCGAAATCTTGGCATGTGCCCTGACGGGGAATCCAACGACAGTCTTTTGGTCCAAGGGGGTGACATGCTCAACCAAATTAGCCACACTGGCCAGGGATTAACCAATCATTATGAAGTTCCAGAAAATTCTAAAGGATTTTATTAGATGATTTATGTGGATGTGGCCAAAATTTATATTTTCTTTTTTTTTTAAATATATTTTATTGATTTTTTACAGAGAGGAAGGGAGAGAGATAGTTAGAAACATCGATCAGCTGCCTCCTGCACATCCCCCAGCAAACATTTAACCTTGAGATTTGTTTTAAACTATCCACTAGGTTGTAAGTAGAAGAGCAAACATTGTCTTCTCATTCACTGCTGTGTCCTCCTAGTCTAGCCGAGCCTATATTAAATCCTCAGCCCTAACTGGTTTGGCTCAGTGGATAGAGCGTCGGCCTGCGGACTGAAGGGTCCCAGGTTCGATTCTGGTCAAGGGCATGTACCTGGGTTGCGGGCACATCCC